GGTCTGGCCATTTTGTTCTCCCTTCATTCTGAATCCACACATCTTCTTGGTTTACATTCCCAGCTGGGCAGACTAAACATCCGCCATACCTCTAATGTTCTCAGTGTTAGTCGCTCAGCTGTGTCTGACTCTTTGTGACCCCAGGGACGGTGGCCCACCAGGCTCCTCTGTCCATGGAATTCTGCAGGCAAGAATACTGGGGCAGGTTGCCATTCTGTTCTCCAGGGGATCTTCCTGACCCAGGGCTCAAATCCGGGTCTCCTGCACTGCAGGCAGATTCTTTACCGGTAGTGCCACCAGGGAAGCCCAGTGTTCTCAATGCTACATGCTCAGTCTCTGACCATAATTGGTTATTGCCCTCCTCATAGAAAAGTCCTGGTGCTTTGCTCTTTACCTGTGTGTGCAGATTTCCATGTTATGCTGGGTTCCTTTGGGCTTTTTATTATACCAAGTGCCATACAGTCTTCAAGGCCATATCCATCTCTGGCCACTTGAACCCTAGGGACAGTCTCTGACCTCCCACCACTCCAAGTGGCTGCCCCTGGCCACATGATCACAGGGCCACGTGCAGTTTTCAGGACACACTGACTGCTCCCTACTTGCTGTCCTGGCCACTCGTTGCCTCTGACAACGATCCAGGGTTGCCTGGATCCCTTGGGGAGCTAGGGAGCATGAATTGCACCACAGGGTTGGTCCCACTTGGAAGCAAGGGGACCAGCCTGAGTTCCTCTGTTCTAGTCTGTCATTGGCTGCAGGCTGCTGTCCATGAAGGGCAAAATGAAAGTGCTACTCACTCAGTCGTGTCCAACTCTGTGCTACCCCACGGACTGTAGCCTGCCAGGCTCCTCTGCCCATGGAATTCTCCAGGCAAGAATACTGGGGTGGGTTGCCATTGGTTGCCCTGGCGGGTCCTGCCGTCTCCTGACTCAGCACCCTGTGATCCCGTGGCCTCTGCAGAGAAGCACAGGATAGACACCTCAGGATGGGAGAGACTCACAGACCCTTGCCCTCTGATTTACCCCATGTTTCTCCTTGAAAGGTGGCTTACTGGTGACTCAGACAGTAAAGAATCTGCCTGCAATGCAGAAGACCCAGGTTCAATCTCTGGATCGGGCAGATCCCCTGAAGAAGGGAGCGGCAGCCCACTCCGGTATTCTTGCCTGGAGAATCCTATGCATGGAGGAGCCTAGTGGGCTACATACAGTCCATGGGGTCACAAAGAGTGCAACACAACCGACTGACTAACACTTCACTTCTCCTCTAAAACTTGCCCTGACAAAGGGTATCTAAGACAGGCTCTGAAAAGCCTTTGCGATCTTCCACCCCAAGCTCCATGGTTCTGTCTGTGCATTCTGGTCTGTGCTATCAGGAAAGTGAGCGACCCCACGCTTGACCTCAGTCTGCCAGCCCCACCACCTGAGTCCCACAACAGATGGACAACGGTTCTCGCTTCCTTCCCTGGTCTGCTGCAGCTGTGGCAACAAGACTTGTTCCCCCTCAGGGCACTGAGAAAAGAGCTGTCGTAAATAATGCCAAACCTGTTCCATGTTCTCTCTGTCTTGGGAGTTGTCTTTTGTTTTTGTTCTGTTTTTTGACAACTCTCTTGAGGCTTAATTTGCATACAAGAAATGGTACCCATTTAAAATATAAAAGTCCTGGTGGTTCAGTGGCTAAGGTACCATGCTCCCAAGGTAGGGGGCCTGGGTTTGAGCCATGATCAGGGAACTAGATCCCACATGCTGCAACTAAGACTGATGCAGTCCAAAACAAAAAAACCCCCACATGCTGCCACTCAGACCCGGCCTAGCTAAATAAAGGAAACCACCAGCAGAACCAAATTACAGAATATTTCCATCTTCCCCAAGCCTCCTCATGCTCCTTTCTGATAGAGGAGTTTTATATGCTTTATCCTAGCTCATCTTCACAAGTCTGAGCAGAAACAGCCACCTCCAACTGACAGATGGGACAACTGAGGGACAGAGAGGCTCGGTAACTTCCTATGTCAGCCAGCCAGAAAGCAGCAGGGCCAAGATGTAAAACCAGGCATGTCTCATTCCGGCATCTGTGTCATGTCCATGTGCTCCTCTGGGGCCTCTCAAAGCATGAGGGCAGAGCAGGGCTTGCTTTGCAAATGAGCTGTTCTCTCACCAAGTTTCTTTGCTATTTTCTCTCATTTCTGAAGCCCTTCTTTTGTTTTCTTAAATTAACTTCAATTTCTGTTTTTCTCCATCTTCTAGACTTCCTTCATAGAATAAAAGCCAGAGACTGAACTGAATTTAGAATTTCCTTGTCAATATTGCCATATTTGTTCAGAAGTTCATTGAGCCAGTGGTTATTTCTGGCTTGTCTGGTTGCCTTTTTTCAAAATTACTATTTTTAAAGGCTGTGTAGCCAAGACCAGAGGGGAAAAAAGAAGGCATGTGTGGGCTTCCAGAAACGCAACAACATGAAAAAGCATGAAATGTGGCAGCACTGGGAGAGCCCAGCATTCTGGGCTCCGGCTTGTACACTCCTGCCCTGGATAAAGGCACGGCCTGGGTGCCCCTTTTTACCCCTGATTCCTGTTGATCTGTTGTCTTGTGTTTTCCTAAAGTAGCAGTTAATTATAAACACATAGCGAGGGATTTGACTTTTCCCAAGAGAGCCCATGAAGTTTACATTTCCTGGGCCCGTTGGTCTAAACCAGAAGGCTGGGCATTGTGCAGGCCAGGTTTCAGGGGAGCATGGGGGAAGGGAGGGTGGGGCAAGGGGAGGGGGGCACAGTGGCTGGATGGCTCCGGAGAGCTCAGACTGGAAAGCAGAGAGAGGCGAGAGAAATAGCACCTCGACAGGCAAAGAGCTGGTGTTCCCCATCGTGATGGCAGAACGTAATTTGAGGTTGACATGCAGTGAGTAACAAACTTTACCGTTATTCAGGAGGGGAAAAACAGCCTTGGGATACTTTGTCATGAGTAGACTCTTTGTAAACAGTCGGTGTCTGTGTCTTCACTTGAGGTTTTGGTGTGGCTGAGAATGTGACATAATGAGAGGCTGTTTCTGAGCCAGACCTTGACCTGAGAACCTGGGCAGACAGGAAGGGCTTGGCTCTGAGCCCCGGGCTGCTGTCCAGGGATGCTCTGGACCCAGAGAGCGCTGAGGGCAGAATCTCCAGATGGACAGATAGATACACACCCAGCTCAGAGTGACCACAAGGGTCCAGGTCAAGGCAGGCCCACCAGGCAGGAGGGGGCTTATTGTTGTAGTTCAGTTGCTAAGTCGTGTCCCACTCCTTGCGACCCCATAGACTGCGGCATGTTAGGCTTCCCTGTCCTTCACAATCTCCCGGAGTTTGCTCCAGTTCGTGTCCATTGAGTCGATGATGCCATCCAGCCATCTCGCCTCAAATCCCCAGCTCTAACATCATACACTAGGCTCCTTTCCTGCCCATATTCGAGGTGCCTTTTGACTGAAGCTCATAAGGTGGGTTAGTGGGAAAAGGAATTTAGCAGAGATTATGTCCAGTGCTAGGACTCAGAGGTTGTTGACCATTCTTTGCTACTATCATGAACCAACTAATGCCCTGGCTGATGACACCCAGTGCGGAGCAGGGGAGAAACAGGGAGAACCCCCGAAACAATTGGTTTTCGGCAGCTACTAGGAACGTCCCCCAACCCCCCTCCCGGGGCCAGTGAACCATGAGCAGCGGCTCCTTGAACCCACCTCGTAGCGTCATCATGGCGGCAGCTCTGCTCGCAGAAAACCCGGGGAGCCAGATATCGCGAGAGTGCAGCCACAGGCGGGCACCAAAATTTGTTATCTAAAGTGGGTTCAGGTGCTGGCAGCTCCAAAGCCAGTAAAGAAAAGGTTGGTGGGAAGGTAAGTTTGCTTTATTTTGGAGGCCGGCAACTAGGGGTAGGGTGTTGTCCAAAGGCTGACTCCTTCCCCCTCCCCCCACCACCGACAACCAGTGGGCAAGAGCTTTTAAAGCGGAGTTTGAGGGGCACATAAGCAGGAGGAGGGAGCCATCTGCAGAAACAACACAGTCAGCTCTGAGTCTTCTTGATTGTTTCAAGTACTGTTAATCTTCATTCCCTAGGGGCTTCCCTGGTGGCTCAGGCGGTAAAGTGTCTGTCTGCAATGCTGGAGACCCGGGTTTGATCCCTGGGTCGGGAAGATCCTCTGGAGAAGGAAATGGCAACCCACTCCAGTATTGTTGCCTGGGAAATCCCATGGACAGAGGAGCCTGGCGGGCTGCAGTCCACGGGGTCGCAAAAGGTCAGACATGACTAAGCACACACACCTACACACACATAGACACAGATGCACAGACACATAAACATATATGATTGTCTTCGTGTGTGCTGTAGCATAAATGTTGGTGAGTCGCTAAGTCATGTCTGAGTCTTTGCGGCCCCGTGGACTGCAGCCCGCCAGGCTCCTCTGCCCATGGGATTTCCCAGGCAACAATACTGGAGTGGGTTGCCATTTCCTTCTCCAGGAGATCTTCCCAGCCCAGGGATTGAATCTGCTTCTCTTAGTCTTCCGCATTGGCAGAAGTGTTCTTTACCACTAGTGCTCCCTGGGAAACCCTTTATATCTGTATCTGCATTCATTTGTAAAAACCAAACCGGTAGCAGTGTCATCAGGGTCAAGGTTGGGGGAAGGGAGAGGCAGCTTCTATAGTCTGTAAGAGTTCAGTATTTGCCAAAGAGCATCTACCATTTATGTAAATAAGGCAAAAAGGAACTTGCTGCTGGGCACTGCCTCTGGTCATGTTGCCTGGCAGTTTAAAGACACAAAGCTATATTGGAGCACACACAATTCAGTCAACAAGTACTGAGTGCTTCATCTGTGCCAGGCACTCTACCAGGTGTGGGGGATGCCAGGATGAAGGCAATCTCAGTTTAGGGTGCAGGCAGCACCCGTGAGGGAAGAGGGGGTGGCTTTTTCAGTTTTTTATTTCTCTCAGGCTGGAAAGTTCCGCAGAGCTTGGGGAACTTACTGAGCTTCCTTGCCCGCAGAGAAGCCGTGCGGAGACCCGCCCTCGTTCCCACACACCATCCTGCAGGGCCGCACCGGCTTGGAGATGGGGGACGAGTTGTTGTACGTGTGCGCCCCGGGCCACGTGACTGGCCGCCGCGACACGGCCTTCACCCTGCTGTGCAACAGCTGCGGGGAGTGGTACGGGCTGGCCCAGGCCTGCGGGAAAGGTAAGCGGGAAAGCATGACCGATGCCTGGGCGGCTCCCCCGCTGCCTTGCTCTGCCCCCTGCGTGGCCCCTTGTGTCTGATTGAAATTACGCGGTGGCGGTGGTTTAGTAGCAAAGTCGTGTCCGACTCGTGCGACCCCATGGCCTGTATCCCGCCAGGCTCCTGTGTCCATTCTCCAGGCAAGAACACTGGACGGCGTTGCCATTTCCTGCCCCAGGGGATCTTCCCAACCCGGGGATCGAACTCAGGTCTCCTGCATTGGCAGGCGGATTCTTTATCACTGAGCCAGCAGGGAAGCCTGAATTAGAGCTGACGCTAAAAAGACTCCTGGTGGGCAGAGCTCCCGAAACCTGGTCTGACTCCCCGAGACGTTCCCCATTCCCTCATCAGCATTTACCTGGGGGGGTGAGTCTTCTGCATGCCACCCCTGCCCAGCCCCTTGGGAATTCTCCCAGAGAATTAACCCTCTTTCTCCTGTGACTCCTACACCATGGACCTCATGCCGACCCTGCACTGCTCCCTGACCTCACAGGTCTCCTCTCTCCCCAGGACTCTTTCAGGGCCACCTTCCTGATGCCCCATGACATCTGAGTACCAAGCGGAAGTTGGCACTATAGAGAGGGAGGACTCCAGCACCATGATGCTACTGAATTTATAGGGCAGTTTGTCCTCAGGATGTCCAGCAGATCATGCGGTAGAACCGTGATGAGGCTAGGGTGCTGTCCTCTCTGTGAGCTTCACCTGTGCTGTGGCCTGAGCTGTGGTTTGTTGTGTTCATTGCAGTTCACTCTCCACAGTGTGAACACATTGCCCATGGCTTCTGAGAGTGGTCATTTGCCTTGTTCTTGCGTTCTGATCGTCACAAGCCTTACGCAGCCATGATCTTTCCCATATACATCATTCATTTCACACCTGAACACCTTTCTGTTGGTTTTTGGGAGAGGCATCGCTGCCCATGGGATAGGTGAGTGTCCAGCTTCTGTGGACGCTGCCAGAGAGTTTTCTAAAGGGTTTTGACCATTTTCCTCTCCCACCAGCTGTGTGGAAGAGTTCTGCTTCAGCATCCTCACCAAGCTTCAGGACCGTGAGACTTTTTACCTTTCTGCTAAGCTGCTGACTGCCTCTGTCAGATCCATTTCTCTACCCAGGCACTTATCACATGCTAATGGAACATGATCAGCGTTTCCTCGGTAGAACTTCTGTCCAACATGTTTGCCCATTTCTCTGATTGACTTGATTAGGCGTCTTCCTGGTGGCTCAGATGGTAAAGAATCTGCCTACAATGCAGGAGCCCCTGGGTTCAATCCCTGGGTAGGGAAGATCCCCTGGAATAGGGCATGGCAACCCACTCCAGGATTCTTGTCTGGAGAACCCCACGGACAGAGAGGAGCCTGGCGGGCTACACCTAAGAGTTAGACACGGCTGAGGGACTAGCACACATACATATAATGTAGGATTTCTTCTTTACATAAACCTTTATGTGTTAAAATTTTCTCTCACTCTGGCTTATGTTTCTCCCCTTGGAGTGTTTTTTGATGAATACTGAGATTTTGTTGTTGTTGTCTCAAACTCTCTGTGCGCAACTTGAATTTTTTTTTTTCTGTGTGCAGTTTTTAAGCAAATTTTTGTTTTTTAGTTATTATAGGCTGACAGTTTTTGGTAAAGTACAATAAAAATGAATTGGCATAAAGCTAAAGCAAAGATACTCTAAATATAAATAAAAATAGACATAAAATCCCCCATCAAATTGTTACAAAAATTTCTAAAAACTTCCTACTTGCTTGTCACATACTCATAACAAAGGGACAGACTGGGACAAGTCCTTGAAACGCAGTTTGAGCCATTTCCCAGCACTTTCCTCTGTTGCTGGCGTCTTGTGGCAGGCAGGAACTCCACCAGTCCTGATGGATTCACCTGTCCAGAAAAGTCAGGTGAAGACCTGACTTCCTGTTTGTGGGGTGTGTCCCCTCAAAGCAGACCCGAACTCACCCCGAGGTGTGAGTGAGCTGGCTGCTTTTCTGACGCTGCATCATCCCACGAGCCACACCCACCATTCAAATGGGCTGTTTACTGGCCCCAGCAGAAGGAGAACTAAATGCAGGTCTTGTGTGTCTGAAATGGTGTTTATTTTCTCACCGCAGAGTTGTTGAAGCTTTCAGTTGCTGGTCAGGAATTTTGATTTCTACACTTGGCTGAACACACAGACCGTTAGTTTTCAGTATCTGTGTCACTGTAAGTGTGTTACAAGGACATTGTCACCAGATATTCAACTCCACCTCTACATGTTCATTTTTCCAATGAACTTTTTTTGATTAAAGAATTTTTTCAAATCGGAGAGGAGTCATCTTGAGGAGGGTGGACCAAACCGGAATTTGGAGTTGGACGTGTCTGAGTTTGAACAACAACCTGCCTTGTACGACTGACCGGCCATTCATTCATTCACTCTCTCCCCCTCCCTTCATCTGGCAGGGTCTGAGCTACTGTGTAATCAAGATTGAGCAAAACTGTCCCAACCCTAATGGGAACTAGTAAACTGAGTGCCTTGGGAGAGACAGAAAAGCCATAGATGATGAGGTAAAAGGGAAAGCTGGAAAACGAGGTTTCACAGGAGGTGAAATTTTAAAGGGAGTATATGTTCCCAGGTGGAAGAAGTGCTCAAAGGATGTACAGATCCAGTCCCTGGAAGCTAAAAAGTGTACATTGGCTTCAAAGTAGAAGAAGATTCTGGAAGCCTCGTGTTTTCAGCGTGTATCTGAGGCATGGAATATACCTAGGCAGCACTGCAATGAACGCAGGAACAAGCTGGGGGAAGAAGAGAGCCAAGGCAGGCAACTACTGCTGTTCACCGTGGACGTGAGCACCGTGGAGGACGTGGGTGGGGGTGGGCCGCAGAGGGTGGAGCCGGAGGAGGATCAGGCACCCAGAGAGGAGGCGAGGTGGTTTGTCTGCCTGCTTGCTGCGGTTATTCTGAGATGGGAAGTACGTCACTCAGAACAGGACCTGTGATATGGTCTGAGCCCAGTGGAGCTCAGTGAAGCGCCAATCTTTTGGCCACCTGTGGCGAAGAGCTGACTCACTGGAAAAGACCCTGATGCTGGGAAAGATTGAGGGCAGGAAGAGAAGGGGGCAACAGAGAATGGGATGGTTGGATGGCATCCCCGACTCAATGGACGTGAGTTTGAGCGAGCTCTGGGAGATGGTGAAGGACACGGGAGCCTGGTGTGTTGCAGTCCATGGGGTTGCAAAGAGCTCGACAGGACTGAGCGACTGAATAGCAACGTGAAGGGTCCTTCTTTCCCTTTCACAGTTGTACTGATGGAGGAGGGCATCAGGCCCCCTCACTGAAGGATGTAAAGATTGGTGTGATGCTGGCCTTTTCTCCCTGTGCGTTACTGACTCTAGCCCCCTGTATGACAGACAGTCAAAGGCAGGCAGTGACTCTAGCTGTCTAATACTTGGGTGAGAAAGTAGTCGCCGCCAGCAGGTGTCTCAGATTCTGGAGACAGCAGCTGATCCTTCCAGAAAGGCATGGCCCGTGTGGTTTTATGACTCAAGGGAGACCCCGTGGGCAATCAGCTGGTGACTTGCTAACGTGTGGCTCCCAGGCCCTCCAGACCTGTGGCCCTGCTGTCTCACATGCCCAGGGAGCACGTGTCACCTCTGCTCTGGGCTCCCCACTACCCCTCCCTACACATCAGAGCCGCCACCACAGAGCATTTCCTTCTGTTCCCTGTGCGCTGCTGGAGCCCGCTCCACGCCCTCTGGCAGAACCTGCTCCAGAGGCTCCTGCCCTTTATTCCCCTCACAGCCTCTCCAGATCCAGACAGCCCCAAGGCTTGGGAACCTTGGAGGTCAAGTGTTAAAAGAACTTCGAGCTCAGATGACTTTGGTCTCAAGAGATTCTAGGGGCTTGGAGACTCCGGGCTACTATGAAGACTGTTTCACTCAAATTTGTCATTATTTGGGCATGTTGAAGACTTGAGTTAGATTCTCTAAAAGCAGAACCTTTTCACACATAGATGGCTTGTTGAGGGGGAGTAAGGGAGGCAGGGAAGGTGAGTGGGGAGGAGTTAAGGATGCAGTCTTTTCTTGCTTTGCCTGATCCCTTGGGGAGCTAGGGAGCATGAATTGCACCACAGGGTTGGTCCCACTTGGAAGCAAGGGGACCGGCCTGAGTTCCTCTGTTCTAGCCTGTCATTGGCTGCAGGCTGCTGTCCATGGAGGGCAAAATGAAAGTGCTACTCACTCAGTCGTGTCCAACTCTGTGCTACCCCACGGACTGTAGCCTGCCAGGTTCCTCTGTCCATGGAATTCTCCAGGCAAGAATACTGCGGTGGGTTGCCATTCCTTTCTCCAGGGGATCTTCCTGACCCAGGGAATTGAACCCGGGTCTCCTGAACTGCAAGCATCAGATGGCTTGTAATTAAGGCTCCCATTCCTCCAAGGGCAGTGCTCTAGAGGAAGGGCAGCTGTTGCTTATTAAAGCATCAGTTCAGTAGAGCAGATGCGTAAACAAATGTTTTTTAAATCCACTAGTAACGTGGGGACTGCCTGAATGAGCGTGATGAAATTTAAACTTTGTAATGGTGGTCACCGGCTCGATGGACATGCATCTGAGCAAGCTCTGGGAGTTGGTGATGGTCAGGGAAGCCTGGCGTGCTGAGGTCCATGTAGTCACAAAGAGTCAGACACAACTGAGTGACTGAACTGAACTAAATGGTGAGCAGGGGGCACATCCATCCAGAGGGGTCAGACAGCAGCTGGTGCAGGAAGGTGCCTCAGCCACACACCAACCACCCAGGTGGTCCGTTCACTGTGACATTAAGTGGTGATGGTGAGGTCTCTCACTGAAGCACAGGGACTTCAGCCTTGACCGTCAACCTAAAGGGTGGGGGCTTAACTGCCATTTTTTCCCTTCTGTGTGTTGGTATTTCTCTAGTTGTGGGTCCTAGAGTCCAGGGTTGGGTCTGGCCATTTTGTTCTCCCTTCATTCTGAATCCACACATCTTCTTGGTTTACATTCCCAGCTGGGCAGACTAAACATCCGCCATACCTCTAATGTTCTCAGTGTTAGTCGCTCAGCTGTGTCTGACTCTTTGTGACCCCAGGGACGGTGGCCCACCAGGCTCCTCTGTCCATGGAATTCTGCAGGCAAGAATACTGGGGCGGGTTGCCATTCTGTTCTCCAGGGGATCTTCCTGACCCAGGGCTCAAATCCAGGTCTCCTGCACTGCAGGCAGATTCTTTACCAGTAGTGCCACCAGGGAAGCCCAGTGTTCTCAATGCTACATGCTCGGTCTCTGACCATAATTGGTTATTGCCCTCCTCATAGAAAAGTCCTGGTGCTTTGCTCTTTACCTGTGTGTGCAGATTTCCATGTTATGTTGGGTTCCTTTGGGCTTTTTATTATACCAAGTGCCATACAGTCTTCAAGGCCATATCCATCTCTGGCCACTTGAACCCTAGGGACAGTCTCTGACCTCCCACCACTCCAAGTGGCTGCCCCTGGCCACATGATCACAGGGCCACGTGCAGTTTTCAGGACACACTGACTGCTCCCTACTTGCTGTCCTGGCCACTCGTTGCCTCTGACAACGATCCAGGGTTGCCTGGATCCCTTGGGGAGCTAGGGAGCATGAATTGCACCACAGGGTTGGTCCCACTTGGAAGCAAGGGGACCAGCCTGAGTTCCTCTGTTCTAGTCTGTCATTGGCTGCAGGCTGCTGTCCATGAAGGGCAAAATGAAAGTGCTACTCACTCAGTCGTGTCCAACTCTGTGCTACCCCACGGACTGTAGCCTGCCAGGCTCCTCTGCCCATGGAATTCTCCAGGCAAGAATACTGGGGTGGGTTGCCATTGGTTCCCCTGGCGGGTCCTGCCGTCTCCTGACTCAGCACCCTGTGATCCCGTGGCCTCTGCAGAGAAGCACAGGATAGACACCTCAGGATGGGAGAGACTCACAGACCCTTGCCCTCTGATTTACCCCATGTTTCTCCTTGAAAGGTGGCTTACTGGTGACTCAGACAGTAAAGAATCTGCCTGCAATGCAGAAGACCCAGGTTCAATCTCTGGATCGGGCAGATCCCCTGAAGAAGGGAGCGGCAGCCCACTCCGGTATTCTTGCCTGGAGAATCCTATGCATGGAGGAGCCTAGTGGGCTACATACAGTCCATGGGGTCACAAAGAGTGCAACACAACCGACTGACTAACACTTCACTTCTCCTCTAAAACTTGCCCTGACAAAGGGTATCTAAGACAGGCTCTGAAAAGCCTTTGCGATCTTCCACCCCAAGCTCCATGGTTCTGTCTGTGCATTCTGGTCTGTGCTATCAGGAAAGTGAGCGACCCCACGCTTGACCTCAGTCTGCCAGCCCCACCACCTGAGTCCCACAACAGATGGACAACGGTTCTCACTTCCTTCCCTGGTCTGCTGCAGCTGTGGCAACAAGACTTGTTCCCCCTCAGGGCACTGAGAAAAGAGCTGTCGTAAATAATGCCAAACCTGTTCCATGTTCTCTCTGTCTTGGGAGTTGTCTTTTGTTTTTGTTCTGTTTTTTGACAACTCTCTTGAGGCTTAATTTGCATACAAGAAATGGTACCCATTTAAAATATAAAAGTCCTGGTGGTTCAGTGGCTAAGGTACCATGCTCCCAAGGTAGGGGGCCTGGGTTTGAGCCATGATCAGGGAACTAGATCCCACATGCTGCAACTAAGACTGATGCAGTCCAAAACAAAAAACCCCCACATGCTGCCACTCAGACCCGGCCTAGCTAAATAAAGGAAACCACCAGCAGAACCAAATTACAGAATATTTCCATCTTCCCCAAGCCTCCTCATGCTCCTTTCTGATAGAGGAGTTTTATATGCTTTATCCTAGCTCATCTTCACAAGTCTGAGCAGAAACAGCCACCTCCAACTGACAGATGGGACAACTGAGGGACAGAGAGGCTCGGTAACTTCCTATGTCAGCCAGCCAGAAAGCAGCAGGGCCAAGATGTAAAACCAGGCATGTCTCATTCCGGCATCTGTGTCATGTCCATGTGCTCCTCTGGGGCCTCTCAAAGCATGAGGGCAGAGCAGGGCTTGCTTTGCAAATGAGCTGTTCTCTCACCAAGTTTCTTTGCTATTTTCTCTCATTTCTGAAGCCCTTCTTTTGTTTTCTTAAATTAACTTCAATTTCTGTTTTTCTCCATCTTCTAGACTTCCTTCATAGAATAAAAGCCAGAGACTGAACTGAATTTAGAATTTCCTTGTCAATATTGCCATATTTGTTCAGAAGTTCATTGAGCCAGTGGTTATTTCTGGCTTGTCTGGTTGCCTTTTTTCAAAATTACTATTTTTAAAGGCTGTGTAGCCAAGACCAGAGGGGAAAAAAGAAGGCATGTGTGGGCTTCCAGAAACGCAACAACATGAAAAAGCATGAAATGTGGCAGCACTGGGAGAGCCCAGCATTCTGGGCTCCGGCTTGCACACTCCTGCCCTGGATAAAGGCACGGCCTNAATGACTATTTAGATTTTTTTTTTTTTTAAGCTGTGCTGCATGGCATGTAGGATCTTAGTTCTTCAGCCAGGGAACAAACCTGTGCCCCCCTGTAGTGGAAATTTGGTCTTAACCACTGGACCATCAGGGACGTCCCAATACCTTTTCTGTGATACGCTGATTCAAGTATCTTGCCAACGTATCTACCATTTGTCTACCTATTTATTATTGATTTGTAGGAGGTCTTTATAAATTCTGGAACCCTCCAGAGGTTATATGTGCTGCAGTTATCTTCAAATCTGTGGCATGCATTTGAATGCTCTTCATAGTGGCTTTTGACAAACAGAAGTTCTTAAAGTTAATGTAACTTGATTGTCTATCTTTGTGCCAATACCAAACACAGTCTTTGAAAGTACTCCAGTTTTACAGTAAATCTTAAAATCTTGTAGCATACCTGCTACAGCATTTCTCTTTTTTCCTTGTCTCCTCTTGGCCCTTTGCGTTTCCATAAATTTTAGCATGAGCTTGTCAATGTCTGAGATTTTTATTCAGTTCAGTTCAGTTCAGTCGCTCAGTTGTGTCCAACTCTTTGCGACCCCATGAACTGCAGCACGCCAGGCCTCCCTGTCCATCACCAACTCCTGGAGTCTGCCCAAAACCATGTCCATTGAGTCGGTGATGCCATCCAACCATCTCATCCTCTGTCATCCCCTTCTCCTCCCGCCCTCAATCTTTCCCAGCATCAGGGTCTTTTCAAATGATTAATTTGGGCAGATTGACAGCTTTAACAATTAAACTTGCATTATACTAATGTGGGATAGCCCTTTACTACTTAAGTCATCTTTTAATTTTGCTCAGAAATACTTTGTACCATTCCATGTACAAATCTTACACATCTTTTGTTAGATTTATTCCTAGGAATTTGGGGTGGGGGGAGCATTATGCAATGACAGTTGGGCTTCCCAGGTGGCACAATGGGAAAGAATCTGTCTGCTAATGCTGGAGATGATCCCCTGGAGTAGACAATGGCAACCCACTCCAATATTCTTGCCTGGAAAATGGACTGTAGTCCATGGGGTTGCAGAGTCAAATATGGCTAAAAGACTGAGCACACACATGCTATGGCAAACAGTATCTTTTAAATTTTTTTTCTGTTTATTGCTGGTATATTAAGACACAGTTGGTGTTTTATGTTGCCTGTAGAACCAGTCCTTGGTTCTACAACCAGTCCTTGATAAACTCATCTGTTAATTGTAACAGTCTGTATGTAGGTTCTTTGGGTTTATCTGTGATACAGTCATAGCATCTAAGAATAACAGTTTCATTCCATTTGTTCCAGCCCCTGTGCTTTTTATTCCCTTTTGGTGTTCCATGCTGGCTCTGTGCCTTGGACCTCACGAAGCTTTTCCCTCTTTCCTTCCAGATGAGGCAGAGGTACATATTGACTATGAAGATAATTTTCCTGATGATAGATCCGTGTCATTCAGAGAGCTCATGGAGGACTCCCGCACAGAGGCAGAGGAGGANCATCTAAGAATAACAGTTTCATCCCATTTGTTCCAGCCCCTGTGCTTTTTATTCCCTTTTGGTGTTCCATGCTGGCTCTGTGCCTTGGACCTCACGAAGCTTTTCCCTCTTTCCTTCCAGATGAGGCAGAGGTACATATTGACTATGAAGATAATTTTCCTGATGATAGATCCGTGTCATTCAGAGAGCTCATGGAGGACTCCCGCACAGAGGCAGAGGAGGACAGGAGTCAGGAAGAACCCTCTGAGGAGGCTCCGAAACAGGACCGTCTGGTCTCCATGCCTAGGAAGACCTCTATGGCAAGGGAAGACAGAGCCCAGGATACAGCCTTTGTGCCAACCACAGGCCTGCTGGGCGCTGGGAGCCCAGTCCCCACGGAGCTCCCGGGATCCCAAGGCAGCGGGAAGGACATGCTCTGGTCTCCTGCTGGGACCTTCCACAAGCCCGAGTGGGAAAAGGAGATGGATGATGACGCCAAAAAGCACCTTCCTGCTGGAGACCGCCAAAGGGGCAGCGCGTTGGCCCCAGGGGAGCCGGAAGGCAGGGTCATCTACCACAGCACCGATGGCCCCTCGGGGCCCTCTGGGGGCGGGAACGACAGCAGGGCCGGGGACGCAGTGGTGAGCAGCAGCGATGAGTCCTGGTTAGACGGCTACCCTGTGACCGACGGGGCCTGGAGGCAGACGGAGGCGCGAGAGGAGAGAGACGAGGAAGAGGAGGACAAAGGGGATGGATCAGTAGGGCTGGAAGAAAGCATCCTGGTGACGTCCAGCCAGCCCGCCCTTGCAGAAAGGAAGCAGTCCAGGAGCACCACCCTCACTCCCAGTGAGGACGTGACTTCACTTCTTCCCTCTCAAACGCTAGATGGAGAAGCTTTGGCCCTCGGACCCATGAATGTGTCTGACACTGAGGGCCCCGGCAAAGGGGCTGGTGACTTGACGGGAAACCAGTCAACCGTCCCCTGGAGATATGCCACAGAGAAGCCTCCCACATCCACCCCGCCCTATGAACTCACCAGCTCTACCCTGGAGACCGAGACAACCGCCGTCCAGAAGACGCCCAACCTCACTCCCTCAACTGTCGTGGCAGCCACCCAGATCCCACCGGAGACCACTGCCCCTGCTGTCCAGGATACCTTCCCGTACCTGCTGTCGGAGGACTTCCTGGGGCAGGAAGTCCCCAACCCGGGTGCAAGTGAGGAGCTTCTCCCGACCTTGGAGCCTTGCGCTGGGGGCAAGTGTCCCAGCCTCGGCAGAGGCCCCATCATTGCCACGATCGTCACAGTTCTGTGCCTGCTGCTGTTCCTGGTCGGCGTGGGGGCCGTGTGGGGTTACCGAAGATGCCAGCACAAGAGCTCCGTGTACAAGCTGAATGTTGGCCAGCGGCAGGCTCGGCACTACCATCAACAGATTGAGATGGAGAAGGTCTAGCCACCTTGGAGTTGGGGGGGGGGGCTCCCCCGAAGCCCCCTTGGGAGGAAAATAAACGGTGACACATCACAGTGAGAACCGCTGACATTTCACTAGCGCATCAAACAGGGGAGTAGGGCTGCTCTTCCTTCTCTCAGGTCTTTGCTTTCTAGGCTGAAAAGTGGGTCTGGAAGCACCTGGCCGGGCAGGGAGGCTTGGGCGGGGTCATCACATGTCAGCAGTCCCTGGACCACCTGTCCTGGGCCCTGTCGCCCTAACCCCAGATCTGTACTTTGGCCCCAATTCCAGCCGGGGGTCAAAATTCACCTCTTCATCCTACTATTGTCTTCTTCTTTTTTTTTTTAAAGAAAGAAATGAGTCTGCAACCTGAAATTTTCAAAATAGGCGTGACAGAGCATTTGAGAGCAGCGCTATTTTGGATCAGGTATTTAATTGTTGGAGTGGAGGAGGGAAGAAAAACAATGAGTTATTTCCTTTTAATGTTGCGATGTTGCTGAGGGCAAATGAGCCAAGATCCAGGACATAGTCTAGAAGCTCTGAGATTTTTTTCAAAATTGTTTGTTGCAATTGGAAAGAATTTACAACTGACATTTGCTGCGAGGAGGGGAGGAGGGCGGGACACACATCCACCCTGTTCCCTCTGTCCTGTGAATCTGTCTTTTTTTTTTAAACAAGGTTAGCTTTGTACCGGTAAGCACCGTTTCCTCTCAGAAGCAGTGGCCTGGTTGTCCTTGACCAATCTGTGCCTAGGAATGTCTTAGAGTTTTTGCCAGGACTAACAAAACTCAGTCCTCGGCTTCCTCTCTCAGGATTAACCATTTCTCTGAACGCCAGGAAGAAAGACTAACCTAGGAGGGAAAAAATGTTTAAAGAGGGCCAAGGACTAGGATATCAAGCACCGGTACCTACTTGATGGAGAAGCAGAGGAATTACGAAGGAATATGAAGTGATCTGTGCTGGCCTAGTCTTTACCCTGTTGCGATGACTGTGAGCTGTCTGGAAACAGCCTGAGTGCATCACGGGCTCCCCCGGCTGGTGAGCATCCAGTTCGCGGCATCCCAGGCACCTCATGGTGACTCGGCCCGTCTCACTTGAGACGGCAGTCCTCAGACCAGCGGCATAGATATCACCTGGGAACTTGCTGGAGATGCAAGGCCTCTGATTCCACCCTGGATGAAGGGGAGGCCCTAGGGGTGGGGCCCAGCTGTGTGTGTGCATGCTTAGTCATGTCCGACTCTTTGCGACCACGTGGGCCACAGGCCACTAGGCTCCTCTGTCCATGGGATTCTCCTGGTGAGAATCTTGGAGTGGGTTGCCATTTCCTCCTCCTGGGGATCTTCCCAACCCAGGGATCTAAACCTGCATCTCTTGGGGCTCCTGCATTGGTAGCTGGATTCTTGACTGCTGAGCCACCTAGGAAGCCCATTTATTGACTTGGTGTCATCTAAATTAATGTAAAAACGCACGTAGAAAGGGAATGATTAAAACAGTGTAAACTTCAATTGTATATCATTATGCATGTTTTGAGGTTGCTAACTGTTCAATGTTCACGATAATTGGGGGGTGGGGGATGGGCGAGGATCCATTAACACAAAGCTTCTGAGATATTTAAAATAAATAATTATTTCCCCAAATAGTTACTTAGTGTATTTTATATCTGGGTTCCATCACAATTGTTGTTGTTGTTCAGTTGCTAAGTCGAGTCTGACTCTTTGTGACCCCATGAACTGCAGTATGCTAGATTTCCCTGTCCTTCACTATCTCCCAGAGTTTGCTCAAATTCATGTCCATTGAGTCATTGATGCCATGCAACCATCTCATCCTCTGTCTCCCTCTCCTCCTGCCCTCAATCTTTCCCAGCATCAGTCTTTTCCAGTGAGTCAGCTCTTTGTATCAGGTGGCCAAAGGATTGGAGCTTCAGCTTCGGCATCTGTCCTTCCAATAAATATTCTGGACTGATTTCCTTTAGGACTGACTGGTTTGATCTCCTTGCAGTTCAAGGGACTCTCAAAAGTCTTCTCCAACACCACAGTTCAAAAGCATCAATTCTTCAGCTCTCACAATAAGTTTTCTTTTTTTAAAAAAAGGATTCTCTAGTAATCTTGAAAGTAATGTCTTAATACTTGCTGGATCTAAGACCAGCCTTTCTAAGCCTAATTCTCAGCCACATGACTTCCTGCAGCAGGATTTTAGGGCGTCTGCTGAGCTCCTACCCCTCTTCCATCTTCCTAACACCAACCAGAAACCATGCTTCTCACTACAACAAAAAGCCCAGGATCTTGCTACTCAAAGTGTGGTTCCCAGGCCAGCAGTACAGACACCACTTAGGAACTTGTTAGAAATGCAGAATCCGGGACTACCCTGGTGGCCCAGTGGTTAAGAATCTGCCTGCCAGTGCAGGGGACATGGGTTTGATCCCTGGTTTGGGAAGATTTCACATGCCACGGGGCAATTAAACCTGTGCTCTGGAGCATACTCATACCCTTCTCATCCAGAGAATTGTCCTCGGCCTAATGGGAGTTCCCTCACCCAGGAGTCAGCCACCCCCACCCCCCCACTCCCACTGGCTGGGCAGCCTGCGAGCAGCCGGTGACCAATGGACATGGTCACATGGAAGGTTGGCCTCCTTGCCACCAGGTGGGAGAGCTCCCGTGAGATCAGGCAGAGGTTGGCCTCTAGTGACCACACCCTTGCCAGCCCCTTCCTGCGCCCCTTCTCCTGAGAGCACTCCATCACTCGCACAAGGCTTTGCTTCAAGAGATCTGGACCTGGACTTACCCGGGGGTCCAGTGGATAAGAATCTGCCTGCCAATGGCGGGAGACACACGGGTTCAATTCCTGGTCCAGGAAGATCCCACATGCCCCGGAACAACGTAAGCCGCTGCAGCACAACTACTGAAGCCCGCACACCCTGGAGTCCATGCTCAGGAACAAGAGAAGCCCACACACCGCAATGAGGACTAGACTCCACTTGCTGCAACTAGACAAAGCCCGTGTGCAGCAGCGAAGACACAGCGCAACCAAAAATTTAAAAATATTTTCTAATAATAAGTTTAAAAAAAGTGATCTGGACCTAAGACGTCCACCGATGGATAAACTCTTACTTCCTACTCCCCCTATTCCTGCTCGACCCAAACTTTTCCACTGTATCCTCCGGAATTCTTGGGCTGACATCAACAGAATCCCCCTGTCCTCCCCCTCCTCTTCCAGTAGCTGATGTGTGAGTTCTCTGTGCAGAGTCTGCTTTTGCCCTAACTGGCTCCTTACTCTTTCCCTCTGCCTCCTTCTACACTTCTCTTTCTCCCCACTTGTCCTTGGGTGACAGGCATGGAGCACGGCAGCTGTCGGCTGTCATGCCTGGATTGGTCCTTGTTTGAAACAGTAAATACTTGGTTACTTCTCAGACCTTGGCAGCAAGGGACCAGCTCATCGGATCCAAAGCAAGCCCCAGATTCCCAATGTTATCCCTTCGTGGGATCCCAGGTAGCCAAAAGAGAGCCTTACTTGGCGGAAGGAATGTGCCTGCATCTCCTGCAGGATCCAGGCAGGTAAGGACCACCCCCTTCTCTGTCAGTCAACAGTCTTTGGGGTGAGGACTCTGCTTTAGGAGATGCACGTTAGAAACCTCACAGACCTGAGAAAACAACTCATGGGACATGTCCTAGGAATTCCCAGGTGGGCCAGAGGTTAGGACTCTGCACTTCTGTTGCCGAGGGCAGAGTTTCGATCCCTGGTGGGGGAACTAAGACCCTAAGATCCCACAAGCAGATCACTGTGGCAAAAATAAACACAAACAAACCAAACACCACACAACGTGTGTCCTAGAAGGACTGGGTGCCGTCAGGACAGTCCCACCACTGGACAGAGAAAGAAAAATAAGTCAAGAATAAGCAAAGTAAAACATTTAATGTGATTTCTTTTAAAAAAGCTTTGTTTCCAACCATTTTGCAAGTTCTAATTTTCCAAAGAGTGAGACCATACCCACTGCCCTGATCCCAGGAGGGAGGTGGAAAAGACATCGGTGACAACGCTTCAGCATGGCCTGCGGACCACGACTCTACAGCGGGCCACCTTGGATCTGTGGGTACAACTGAGAAACTGCATCAGTGTGGCGGCCTGGGTGGGAGGGGAGTTTTGGGGAGAATGGATACATGTGCGCGTATGGCTGGGTCCCTTCACTGTTCATCTGAAACTGTCACAACATTGTTTGTTAACTGATTGTACCCCTGTACAAAATAAAAAAGGTTTTTAAAAAATCAATGAAAAATAAACAGACACGAAAAAAGAAATTGCTTCATTTCCTCCCACTCTTTCTTGCAAAAGGCGGCACCATCATCTTACTCTATCAGCTCCAAGGAGATAGCCAGCCAACTCACTCACTCAACAAGACGCTCAAGCCAGACCTAGGAGGTAGAGTGGGGGGTGGTTCTTGAGTCTGAGGCCTGCCTCGGGGAAGATGCTGCAGCAGTGCAGGCCACGGCCGCTCCCGACTTGAGTTTCTGGGTGAGAGAGGGTCAGTGAGGACGAAGCTGGGTTTTCCTGGTGGCATCCCCCTCGAGGAGATGCCCCAGGGACGGGGCAGCGGGCACAGGAAGTCCTTGCACAAAACCTTCGGCCGAGGCTTGCTTAAGGTCCCTTCCCTTCCCACCCCCCTCCCTCTCCTTGTATATAGTTTAAACTCTCCACACTAGGTCATTCAAGCCTGGAGTCCCCAGAAAAAAGAAGTCGCTGTTTGGGGGATGGCAGATGGTCAAGAGTTGGGACAGCTGCGATGAAGGATTAGTTGTGGGTTTTTCTCGGAGCCTCGCTACAAACTGTGTTGCAGTTCCATGTGCAAACACTATTAAATGAGAATGTTTTCTCTGGCTCCAGTCCACCTTCTCCCCACAGTTTAAGTATTGAATTTTTTTTTTTTTTAAACCGAAGTAGCTTAAGTTTACAGCTCACATTAAAACTTAAAAACGGTATTTCCATCCATGTTGGCAGAAACGGGCCACTGTTGATTCCACCGGCAGTCATAATAAACCCTTTCCCACTGACAATCGAACAAATCATTTTCTGTTTGCTGCTGAGTTTGGTTCAATAAAATTTTTGTACTCTTAAAATTCCCTTAGTAAGGACTCCTAAAAGCAACATTTCCTAAGGCGGCCTCTGTGGGTGATGGCCTCAGTGGTTCTGGACCCCAGAGGTGAGCCTGACAGGTCGGTGGCAGTAATTAGAAAGCCTCAAACTCAGAAAGACATTACTGGGCTGAATATGCTGGTATGTGCAACATTTCCATTAGTTGCTTTTAATTCTTTGTATACACCCAAACCTCTCCTCCCCCCAACCCCCCCCACCTTCCCTGCTAACCAGAAATCTGAACATTAACATGGGTGCAGGGGGTGCCTTTAGACCCTCCCCAGGGGGGTCCTTGCCTGGGCTGCCGGAAAGGCCTTGGGGCTGGACACACTCCATGCCCCCCGTGGGCAGCCTCCGTGGGCAGGGACCTAACTGCTACCCACTGGGCTGAGTGCAGGTGGGTCAGAGGGCAAGCCAGACATCTTAGCCTTCGTCTGGAAACTCCCACACAGCTTATAAATGTGCTTCTTTTTTCCCCCCCAAATGGCTGGCCAGACGAATGCTGAGCCCACGAGGTCTCAATCCAGGATTCTTCTAGGCTCTTCCAAGAAAACCCACTCAGGGAGGTACTGGGCTGAGGTCGCTGAGTGCAGCTGGGCTTTCATGTTACGTTTGGAAGAATTGGCCCACATTTTTCTTTTTTTAAAAAAAATTGGTTTGGTTTCTTTTGAAATAAAAACTTAGTAACTTGGTTCCACAGCCTTCAGTCAAAGCAAAGGGCTGACAGTATTGATCCCACTGTCCCCAGGGTACAGTCCCTAGGATGAGGGTGGGAGGGGCTTTCAGCCCCCAGGGGAAAGACGCCAACCTCAGATACAGGCTGCAATGCGGGAGACCTGGGTTCAATCCCTGGGTCAGGAAGATCTCATGGAGAAGGGAATGGCTACCCCCTCCAGTATTCTTGCCTGCAGAATTCCATGGACAGAGGAGTCTGGCAGGCTATAATCCACTGGGTCACAAAAGAGTTGGACATGACTGAGTGACTTTCAGATAGTGAACCCGAACCTCTGCCCACATCAGGAAACCCTGTGGAGACATCCTCACCCCCAGAAAGTCCCCCAGAATCCGAGGAGGACCAGAGGGAGGCCCTGGAGGAACAGAGAAGCGGAGAGAGTCAAGAGTCAAGCCTCCTTGCCTGTCCTCACGCAGCTGCAGAGAGCTGAAGCCTGGAGCTTCGAGGACGGTCAAGCGTCCATGGGCCCAGAGCCTCCCCTGATGGGATCCTGGGGAAGGGTGCCCATGCCCAAGGCCCCCCACTCTGCTTTATAGTCCCACCCTGGGACCCCTCCCCACTGGATCCCTGACTCAGGCTCTGCCAACCACCCGACCTGAGAAAACTCTCAAATCATATTTGCAGCCTGAGCCTGGCATCCCAGCCTCAGAAGGCTGCAGGCACCGAATGCCTAACTCACCAACCACCCACCTCCCCATCTCAGACAATGGCAACCCAATCCTTCCCGTGCGTCAGGCCCCGAACCTCCAGGTCACCACCAGCCCCTCTCTTTTCTCTAATGCTCCACGGTCAACCTGTCAGCAACTGTGATTGGCCCTGCTTTCAAATCCATGACAGGACCACTTCTCACCACCCCCCCACTATGCCCGGGGTTGCGCCTTCATCCCCTGCCTGGATCTCTGTGGCCATCCCCCGACTGACATTCCCGACTGTCCCGAGTGCTCCCAAGTTTCTCACGGTGTGGCAGCCGGCAAGCTCCCTGTAAAATGCCGGGGGGCCCAGGCTATGCTCCGCTCCACGGCTCCCACGCCACTCAGGGCAGACGCCCAGGGCCTTACTTACACTGTCTGTCAAGGCTGAGCCATCCCCTCCCAGCCACACACTTACACCACCTTCCACTCTGCCCCGTGCCCACACCTCCCTGGGCTCTGGGCTGTCCCAGGCCACACACGCTGCCCGCCCTGCCTGGAAGGTTCTGTCCTGAGACCCACCTCCCCAGGTCTCTGCTCTGTCGTGTTCTCAGTGACGGCTTCCCCGACCACCCTATTTAAAAACCCCAGCGGGGCACTAAAAGCCGGCTCTCTGGGATGACCCAGAGTGATGGGGTGGGAGGGAGGCGGGAAGGAGGTTCAGGATGGGAGGACACATGTGCCCCCGTCGGTGATTCATATCGATGGATGGCAAACACCACCACAATGTTGTAAAGAAATTATCCTCCAATCAAAATAAATACATTAATTCAAAACAAAACACTGCAGTCTTGGGACTCCCCTGGGGGTTCACTGGTTAAGACGTCACATTTCCAATGCCAGGGGTGTGATCCCTGGTGGGGGGGCTAAGATCCCACATATGGCACCACCAAAATATTAAAAACCAAACAAACAACCCTGCAGCCTCATCTCCAAGCTTCCTTATCCCGCACTGCTTTATTTTTCTCCATAGCAATGATCACCCTCCGAGGCCTTGTATATATTCTTGTTTACCTGTTGTCTGTCTTTTCCTGTAGAATGTAGGCTCTATGAGGACAGGGTGTCTTTTTTTTTTTCTTTCTGTTTTGCTGTGTAGTGTCTCCAGCGCCCAGATCAAGGCCTAGCATGTAGTAGGTGCTCAGTAAATATCTGTCGAAGAGTAAATGAAACTAGATTCCCTCTCCTTCCTTCCATTTCCAACTCTGAGACTAACGGCTGTGCACTGTCTTCATAGGGGATCTACTGGCCATTGGAAGACGTGAAAGTATCAGGCAAAAGTCATGTGTCTGTTCTCAACGCTGTTGCCCCAACTCCTTTTTCAACGGGTGCCAGCAATGATGCAGGTCAGATGGTGTGCAGACCATTATGAAGAGAAGCTTAGCCTTTGTCCTCACCATCTTGCTGGATCAGGGGATGGGGGGAAAGGACACCAAAATGGGGGAAAGCAGAAAGGCCAGAGGAGGTTTTTATAATTACCATCTTTTAGGGGTATTTTCTTATTTAAAAAATAATACTGATTTTCTGGGGGGGAAAAAAATCCATGGAAAACTGTCCTTCTAACTGAAATGGTGAGAAAGGCAGTTATAAAAGTGGAGAAGGCAGGTGTGCAGACGGGGAGGCAGGTGTGATCATGGGGAGGTGGGAGTGAAGACGGAGGCAGGTATGATCATGGGGAGGTGGGAGTGAAGATGGAGAGGCAGGTATGATTATGGGGAGGTGGGAGTGAAGACAGGGAGGCAGGTATGATCATGGGGAGGTGGGAGTGAAGATGGAGAGGCAGGTATGATCATGGGGAGGTGGGAGTGAAGATGGGGAGGCAGGTATGAAGATAGAGGGGCAGGTGTGAAGGTGGGGGAGGCAGCTGTGGGCACAGGGAATGCAGGCTCACCCCTTGTTAGCTGGAGTGAGAGACGGGGGCTTCCCTTTCACTTCACAGAGTGAAGAGAAGGCGCTGAGGTATCAACAGCTTGAACCATTAGGAAAAGGAAGACAAAGAATCGTGTTTTCGGAACGTGCAAGGGACGGCTCTCTGGCTTCTGGGGCTAGTTGGTCTCCTCCAACTCCAGCAGGTCATCCACGTATTCCAGGACTTCTCCCTGTAAGGGCAACGAGACACCTCCGTGAGGCGGCTACCAGGCCTTCAAAGTGTTGGTGAACAGAGACTGTTTCCAAGAGGCCGCTGCCACCCGCCCCCGGGACTGGAGCAGCCTTCTCCCTGCTGCCCTCGGGCCCAGAGGATCTGACTTCTTCTGGGGGAGACGTGGCTTCCACATCATGTGGACTTGGCTTCAGGTGCTCTGAGACCCCCCCAGACGGCATGTGAAGTGGGGGGCCCGGCACCTTCTGCAAGATCCTGCTTAGCGCCCCCTTTTCTGTGCATCCCTCCCTCACCCTTACCCCCCTCCCATCAGCAGTTACCCCACAGGGAGACCTTCTGTCTATGCCGCTTCTGCCTTGAATACCAGACCATGAGCTTTTCCAGGGACAAGCACCTGGGCGCAGGTTCTTTCCCAGAGCCTGGCACACACAGGTCTCAATAAACCTGCTAGAGGAAGGATGGCTGACTGAGTGGACACGTGTTACTGCTACTGCAGCTGAAGCTGCCACACACTTTCTGATCTTCTTTGCATTGGTTTCTCTCCCACAACGCACTTGATCACCCCCCACCCAAGCCCTTTACTGCAGAAAAAGAGTGACTCACCAACAAGGTCAAGCTCCCCTGCCCTGGGGTCAGCCCAGGCTGACCTGCCTAGCTCCTCCTTTGCCTCTCAGCTCCTTCCCCAAGAGCGCTCCCTCAGTCAGTCACTCCAGCAAATTCTATTCTATTTCTCTGTCAACTACAAATGGGCACTCGCTGTGGGCACTTGCCATCTACCACCACAAGGATTAAATCAGGTGCTGCTACAACTACTGACTTTCAACACTCCCTGAAAGGAGTTCAGGGCAGAGAGCAGAAATGAAGCACTCTGTGCTCTGGGAAAAACTGGCAGACCAGGGCTTCAGATACTTAAGATTTTATGAGCCAATTTTATGAGGCCAATTCTTATATCTCTTCATTTCTAGAAAAGCACTAAAATCCTCCATGGTGACTAAAGACTAGCAGAAAGCTTCTGTGAAAAATATGTGCTTGGTTGCAAGTATTCCCACTTCACCACAATCACATTTATACTGACCGTCTCCCTTGCTTCATTAGAGCAGTTTCTCAGAGCTATCTGAAATGATGTCACCCAGGTTATAGTCCTCATTTCGCCCCCAACAAAACTTAACTCTCAACTCTAATGCTGTACAGTTTTTAAAAGTTAACGTCTTTTAGACTTTTCCAGAGCAAACAACTATCTGAACCTGAAACCTGAAACATCTGTTGCAGCTTGCTTTATAAACTTTCTGAAATGGTAACAAGGCTACTGCAAAATTTTTAACCAGTGTGCAAACTTCCAGGTGTTCTTACACACATTTCAAGCCCAGAAAGCTATGAAGAACAATACCACAAATATCAGAAGACTGTATTGGTGCTTTGTTTCTAGGCAGCATTTGGTCCTTTGAAATTTTTAAGGCTTAACTAAGAATTTTATTGTGTTAGTTACAGTTTACTTCAAATTATGACTTGTCATCATTTGATATATAATTTTAAAAATAGGTCATTCTTTAGAAATTATTTCACAATCCTAAAGCCTTGATTAATAACCTAATTACTCTGGGATCTTCAGTGGAGCCCTGTTATCTTGAGAGTATTAAGTTCAAGAATCCTAGGAACTGTAAAGCCTGGAAGAAGCCTGGTCAGTTCACCAGATGATTACTAGGCAGCTGTGTGACTTTCAGTAAGTCATGTTACCTTTCTGAGTTTGCTTCCTCATCTGTGACATGAAAGAGCTTTATTGTCTCATAAAGGGGCTCTTCTTGTTCTAACACTTGTGATTTTTCTATGCCTACTCACAGATAAACATGATCTTACGCACAAAAACTCCTGAGGAATACACACACACCCCAAAAAGATTAGAACTGATAAACAAGTTCAATAAGTTTGCAAGATTACACTATCAGTACACAAAAACCAACAGTGTGTCTATATACCAGCAAGACACAATTAGAAAATTAAAAACAAAAAGGGAAACAGTTCCATTTGCAACAGGGCTTCCCTGGTGACTCAGCTGGTAAAGAATCCGCCTGCAATGCAGGAGACCTGGATTCGATTCCTGGGTTTAGAAGATCCCCGGGAGAAGGGAATGGCTACCCACTCCAGTATTCTGGCCTGGAGAATTCCATAGACTGTATAGTCCATGGGGTCACAAAGAGTCGATCACGACTGAGCAGCTTTCACTTCACTTCCATTTGCAACAGCATCCAGAATAACAAAACTTGAGAAAACATTATTGAAGGAAGTTATTTTCCACGCAAGAATCCTGGAGTGGATTGCCATTTCCTTCTCCAGGGAAACTTCCCAACTCAGGGATCAAACCCGGGTCTCTTGCACTGCAGGCAGATTCTTTACTACCTGAGCTACCAGGGAAGCTCCTCAAAGGAAGTTAAAGAAGACCTAAATAAAGAGAAAGCTATCCCATGTTCATAGATCAGAATATTTGATATTGTTAAGATGTCAACAGTACCCAAAACAATTTTCAGAATCAGCACCATTAGTATCAAAATCCAAGCTGCTTTTGCAGAAATTGGCAAACTGATCCCATTATCACATATGGAAATGTAAGGGATCCAGAACAGCCAAAACAATCTGGAAAAAGAAAATGAAGTTGGAAGACTCGCACTATCCAATGTCAAATATCATACAAAGCTATAGCATTTAAATCAGTGCAGTACCGAACTTCCTTGGTGGGCCAGTGGTTAAGAATCTGCCTGCTAATGCAGCAGAGAAGGGTTTGATTCCTGGTCCAGGAAGACCCCCACATGCTGCAGGGCAACTAAGCCCGTGCCCCACAACTACTGAAGCCAAGCCTAGAGCCCATGCTCCGCAACAAGGGAAGCCTGTGCGCCGCAACCGGAGTAGCCCCTGCTTGCTGCAACTAGAGAAAGCCCACACACAGCAACGAAGACTCAGTGCAGCCAAAATTAAATAAACAAAATTTAGAATACATACATAAATAAGTGTGCTACATTTTAAAAAAACATTAAAAACAGAACAGTGCAGCGCCAGCATAAAGAAAGAAATCTAGATCAACAGGATGGAATGGAGAGTCCAGAAATGAATCTTCACATTTAACGTCAATTGATTTTCCTATGAAGGTACTCAGACAACTGAATGGGGAGAGTCTTTTCAACAAACAGTGCTGGGACAACAGCATTTCCACATGCAAAAGAAGGAAACTGGGCCACTGCCTCATATCATATACAAAATTAACAAAAAATAGATTATAGATCAAAATGAAAGTTAAAACTATAAAAACTTTAGGAAAAAATATAGTATATTTTAGTCATCTTGGATGAGCTTCTTAGCTATGACGCCAAAACACAAGTAACAAGATAAAAATTGGTAAGTTGGATTTCATCAAAATCTAAAACATTTGAGCTTCAAGAGTAAAGTGAAAAGATAACCAACAGATTGAGAGAAAATGTTTGCAATTAATGTATGTGACAGGGGGCTTTAGAACCAGAATATATAAAGACCTCTCACAACTCAACGATGAAAAGACAAATAGCCCAATTTGAAAATGGACAAAGGAAAACAAAAACACTCCTCTCTTAAAAAAAAGTGGACAAAGGGTTTGAATAGAATCAACACTTCTCCAAAGAAATACACAAATGGCTAGCAAGCATGCGAAAAGATACTCAACATCATTAGTCAATAGGGAAATGCAAATGACAACCGCAGTGAGGTACCACTTCACACCTACTTCACAACTAAAAAAAAAAAGACACACACACACACACACACAAAGAAAGACAGATGCTACAAATGTTGATTAAGATGAAGCAGATTAGAACTTTCCTACATTGCTGGTGGGAAATGCAAAATGGTTCAGCCACGTTGGAAAACAGCCTGGCAGTTCCTTAACAAGATACACGCAGAGTTACCATGGGACCCAGCCATTCCACTCTTAAGTATAAGAGAATCTAAAATTTTTACCCAAACAAAAATGTGTACACAAATGTACACAGTATCATTATTGAAAGTAGCCAAAGACTGGAAACGACCCAAACGTCCATCAGTCAAGGAATAAACACCATGTAGCATGTCCATACAGTAGAATATTATTCAGCAATGAAAAAGGATCTTTTTCATCTAACGTGATGCATGTTACAACACAGCTAAACTTGGAAAACATTATCCTCAGTGAAAGGAGTCAATCACAGAAACCAAAATCCATTTGATTCCACTCATCCAGAACAGGCAAATTCAGAGACAGAAAGGAGGTCAGTGGTTGCCAGAGGCTGGGGGCACAGGCTGGGTGGACAGAGGGGAAAGAATATAAAGTAACGACTAATAAGTTTCGGCTTTCATTTGGGTGAGGAAAATGTTCTCAAATCTGATAGTATGATGAATGTACAACTTTATGAATACACTAAAAGCCACTGAATTGTACCGTTTAGAAAGGAAAATTGTATGGTATGTGAGTATACCATTTTTCTGTTCCAGAAAAATGTAACAAGGGAAACTGCTCATAGCAATGTTAAATGGAAAAGCCCTGATATATAACTACCATCAAGTTTATGGTGAATATATTAACATATTGGAAATATATGGAAAAAACTGGAAGCATAAACACCAAAATCTCAATAGTAGTTTGCCTTTAGATAACCAGGAACCCAATCCATCCCCCTTTTCCTGAATATACTTTTCTCTACTTCTTAAACCACAGCGGCCAAGCCAGTTTGTGTCTGGCCTGTGTTCCTTCCTTTTCAGCATCCTTGTGATCTTATCCCAGGATCTGCCTCCAGAGAACCCCAACCCAAGACACAAGGCATGTGTGTCACTTCCTACTCTGTAAAGCACTTCCACGTCCAAAGTGGTATTTTCTTCTCCCAACCCTGCAAGGTCAATGTTATCAGCTGCATTTTACACAAAAGAATTGAGGCCCAGGGCAGCTAAATGCATGGCGGTGGTCCATCCAACTCATGTGAATTTGTCCACAAAAAACAAATTTCATGATGACATTTTACTTACAGGTGCTTCACTGAAAACTAGGGCAGTGGAAAGAGCAGACATGGAAGCTCGGGGCTCTGGGTCTGGCCAAGCAGCTTCCAGACTCTCCTGTCCCCGGGGTTCCTTTTCTATGAAGTGAAGGGTCAGCTGAGAACAAGCCCTCAGCTGTCTTCCAACTCTGAAGGCTGGTGAGTCCTCAGCTGTCTTAGAAAGCATTGCATGGTCTGTTCCAAACACATCTCTCTAAATGTTACCCCTGCAAGCGTGCTTGGTCAGTCATGTTTGACTTTTTGCAAACTGGAGCTCTCTAGCTCCTTTGTCCATGGGATTCTCCAGGCAAGAAGACTGTAATGGGTTGCCACGTCGTCCTCCAGGGGATCTTCCCAACCCAGGGATTGAACCTGCATCTCTTACATCTCCTGCACTGGCAAGCAGGTTCTTTACCCACTGAGTCACCTGGGAAGCCCAAACGCTAACCCCAATGATGGCTTTTCTGTGACTAGACTGCCGCAACACAGAATGACTGCCCCATAACCAGCAGAGTCTCTGTCAGTAAAGGCATCAGCTGAGTGAGACTTCATCAGGAATTTCAAGAAAATCCCAGAGAAGGATAAGATGCTTAACTCATAAAAAGACACACACACACACACACACACATAACTGACAGAAAAATTGGGATGTGGGTTTCCCAGAGTCTTCAGAGTACTGAGTAATTGAATATTCACTGTTTTTATAAAGTTAAAAAATGAAGCTTGTTGCTCAGACACAAAAAGGAATGAAATTATGCCATTTGCAGAGACATGAATGAACATAGAGATTTTCATACTAAGTGAAGTAAGTCAGAAAGAAAAAGACAAATATCATATATTAATTCATATATGTGGAATCTAAAAAATGGTACAGATGAACCTCTTTGCGAAGCAGAAATAGAGACACAGACATAGAGAACAAACGCACAGACACCAAGGGGGAAAGGGTGAGGTGGGAAGAATTGGGAGGTTGCGATTGACATATTCACACTATTGGTACTATGCATAAAATAGCTAACTAATGACAACCTATTGTACAGCACAGGGAACCCTGCTCAATGCTCTGTGGTGACCTAAATGGGCAGGAAATCCAAAAAAGAGGGGATAAATGTATCTAGATGGCTGAGTCACTTTGCTATACAGCAGAAACTAACACAACACTGTAAAGCAACTATAAACCAATATAAAATTTTTTAAAATGATACCTGGGAGCTTCCCTGGAGGCTCAGTGGTAAAGAATCCACCTGCCAATGCAGGAGACATGGGCTTGATCCCTGATCCAGGAAGATCCCACATGTCATCAAACAACTAAGCCCATGTGCCACAACTATTGAGCCTGTGCTCTAGACCCCCAGAGCCTCAACTACTGAGCCCACTTGTCCTAGAGCGCATGCTTCGATACAAGAGAAGCCACCGCAGTGAGAAGCCCGCTCACCACAACTGGAGAAAAGCCTACACAGCAATGAAGATCCAGCACAGCCTCAAATAAATAAATGAACAAATAAATAAAACAAAAACGATGCCTGGACAGCTCCTGTGACAGGTAACTAGAGGATGGCTCCCAACTCTGCCAGGAAACGTGGTGCTTCAGCCTGGGTTTCCTAGAAGCCCTTCTTGTCCAGGTCAGTCCACTGACGCCTTAAAACACTCACAGAAACTGTGTTTCCCAAGGCCTCTTCTGGGTCTCATTTCAGGAATGACGGGGCCTCCCAGTGATTTTTAACAAAGATGTGAGAAATATTTTCTCTCAGTCAGTCATGTGCTAAACGTGAAAGCTCACCTCATCGTCATCCATGAGATTTTCCTTAGCAAAGTCATACAGCTCTTTCTGGAGCATGGTCACGTTAAAGAACTGGACTGCTTCCTGTTTAGACACAAACAGAGAACAGTATATACCAACCAACCATTTAACAGAATCGGGGTGCAGGGGGAACAGGGGGTTGGGGTTTCTTTGGTGAGGGGATGATGAAAATGTGCAAAATTAAATAGTGGTAACAGCCATGCAGCGCTGTGAATATACGGAAACCTCTGAATTGTGCACTTCAAATGCATGAACTTTCAACTATATGAATTATATCTCAATTTGAAAAACAGTGGCTAACCCCAAGTGAATGTATGTTAGAAAGAGAAATGTATGTGTGTGTGTCTGAACAGTGAGGTTGAAGGAAGATGTATGTACAGCAAACCAGGACAGCCGGCACAAATCTCAATGAAAATACAACTTAAAGGCACATGAGAAAAAATCGTCTGAAAGTGATAAATAATCCACAAGTTTCCCTGAATGCGTGCAAAACTGTGTGTGTGCATCAAAGGAATGAAATGATGATCCATCCATAAACAATCCTGCCATGGAGTTGTTAATTACGGGAAAAAAATATGGTATGAGAGTAACAAGGGAAGCATTCATGATGAAATTCTTAGAAACAACAAAGCAAGTTGTAAAACAGTATGTAGGATCCCATTTTTGTAAAAATAAAGAATTACATGCTGCATATATGGCATCATACAGCTTTACCACAGCATGAGACAGAGAAAACATAAAATCAAGAGGAAGGGTCAATTCCGAACTGAAATGTTTCTGTAACGCTTGAAATTTCAGGAGAGTATACCGATTTAGAAGAGAGAACAAAGGGGTAAAGTGTTAAAAGACAAAATAGCGACAGAAGCAAGTTGAGATTCCCTTGTTTCTGAAATAGCCCTTCTCTTCAGATGCCAAGCTGCCTCCCGGAAGTGGCATAACGATGCGAGCGGAAACGCGGTGCCTGGTGGGCCGGCGCTCACCGGTCTGGGCCGGAAATGCTCGTCCGCCAGCGCCCACTTGTCTCTGTGGTACTGATAGTACACCAGGTTCTGCCGCATGACCTTGTCGCTCTGGTCAAAGAGCAGGTAGCTGACCGCACAGGGTGCCGCATTCTTCAGGTCGTTCACTGTGGGCGGAAGAGAGAAAACAGGAACAGGAAGTCAGCCAGCCTCTCAGGAGAGGAACCGTTCTTCTCAGTGAAGAACAGCTTCCAGAAGATCACTAGCAAGCCCCCCTTCCAAGCCTCTCTGACGAACACCTGCAATGACAGGGAAAAAAAACTCAGGGATGAACAGGCTGTAGACAGGATCTCCAGGGAAAAGTGGAATCCATTTGTGAAAATGACAGAAGTTCCTCGGTACACAGAGGCCAAGGCAGAAGTAACTAGTCAATCCCCGTCAGGCCACCGTGACCTGGGCTGGTGTCACATCCCTGGGGCCTGAGCAGGCCTGCGTCTGGAAACGACTCTCATGGGACTGACGGAGGCTGTGCCAGCAAATGAGGCCCCCTTGGACCTGTACTGCCCCCTCCCCTCTTGATGGGACCACAATCTCCAGATCCAGGCAGGTCCACAAAGAGCCACAAGAAGCCCAGGACACCCAAAGATCTGTGCGTCCCTCTGGACTGGAAGAGCTTCGTAAAGTCACCTGGTCTCCCCTCCTCCTGGCCTGGTGCTGGGGTCCCACCTCCACCTTCCTTCCTGAGAGTCGCCCCCACCTACGGAGGAGGTGCTCCCTCAGCAGAGCGGTTTTCCAGGTGCGGAGATTTCTCCATGGGGGTAAGGGGAAAGGGAAGAAGGAATGAGACCCTGGACCCTGGGCGTTTCTTCTGGCACATTCCCCTCTCCTTGACAACCCAGGAACAGGACATCCCTGAGGCTCTGTCTGCCCAGGTATCCGGACCTGGGTGTGAAGCAGTGCTGCCGCCTTGTGGCCTTTCCCCATAACTACAACTTTAAAACCCCCACTTAAGGACATTTCCTGTTCATCAACCCTGCAAGGACTGGAAAGGACACCTACCTTCAAGAAATGTACTGCAGCAGGCTACGAAAAAATATTCAACACAGGGCCAACTTTCAAAAAGCCAACTTCAAAAGGTAAATTTCATTCATACTGTTTTCTAAAAAGTAATGGAAAAGCTGCTCCATATGACTCAGTTCAGTCACTCAGTCGTGTCTGACTCTTGGCGACCCCATAGACTGCAGCATGTCAGGTTTCCCTATTCATCATCAACTCCCGGAGCTTGCTCAGACTCATGACTACTATTATATGTATGTGACATAATCCATATGACTACTATTAGAGAAATGTAAATCAAAAATGCAAGGAAGAATCACCCCACACCCGTCAGCATGGCCATCAGCAAATGGTCTGTATACAAACAACAAATGCGGAGACAGAGTGCAGCGAAGGGAATCCTCCAGCCAGGTTGTTGCGAGTGTAAATTGGTTATCAGGCATTCTGGAGAACAGTGTGGAAGTTCATTAAACGAACTAACAATAGAGCTGGCATGTGATTGGGCCACCCCAGTCCTGGGCATGTAACTGGAGAAAACCAGAATTCCAAGAGACAAGTGCACCCCAGCACTTAGTGCAGCCCTGATTGCAACAGGCAAGACATGGAAGTCACAACGTCCATCAACAAATGAACGGAAAAAGAAGAGATGCCACATGTTTACAATAGAATATTACTCAGCCATATAAAGGATGAAATGATGCCACTGGCAGCCACACTGACAGACCTAGACATGATCATACCAAGTGAAGTAAGTCAGACTGGGAGAGACAAATAGTATATGAGATCACTTAGATTTAGAATCTAGAAAATAATGAGAATTAATTCATTTATGCAACAAAAAGAGACTCACAGAGTTGGAAAACAAACTTATGATCCACAAAGGGGAAATTAGGCTGGAAGGGATGAATTAGGAGGTTAGGATTAACAGATGCACTCTTTTATATATAAAACAGATAATCGAGGGGGACCTACTATACATCACAGGGAACTCTGTGAAACACCCTGTAAAACTATAGGGAAAGGATCTGAAAAACAATACATCCATGTGTGTGGATAACTGAACCAATTTGCTAGACAGCTACAACAAACACCATAGTATAAATCAGTTCTATTTCAGTTCTATTTTAAATTTTTAAAAATTACATAAAAAGCAGTACCCACCATATTGCCCTCAGGCCATAGGGACCTGGGCTGGTGTCACATCCTTGCACCCTGAGAGGCTTGGGTCTCAAGACTGGACTCTCATGGGGCTGAGGGAGCTGGGAATTACATGCCATCAAAACAGCACCCCTTGGACCTGTAAGGACTGGTCCCCTCTGGATGGGACCACAATCTCCAGATGCAGGCAAGCTCTTCAGAAGCTACATGAAGCCCAGAGCATCCAATGACTGGTGGGCCCTCGGGCTGGAAGAGCTTCCAAAAGCCAGCAGGTCTCCTGGATGTGTCCTGGTGAGGGAACTCAGCACCAACCTCAGACGACATCACCCTCAGCGGAGTGGTTTTGCAGGGACTGGGATTTGTCCGTGGGGAGAAGGGGTAAAGGAATGAGACACAGGCCCTTAGGCATTTCTTCCTGGCACCTTCTGCTCCCTTGACAACCCAGGAATTGACTGACTTTCCTGAGGTTTTGGCTGCCCAGCTGATCAGACCTAGGTGTGAGGAAGTGCTGCTGCCTGTGGCTATTTCTCGTTACTACAACTTTAAAACCAAGGTTTGTGGACACTACGCCTTCAGTAACCCTGCGGGGCTGCAAATGACACCTGCCCTCAAGAAATGCCCTGGAGTAGGTCGTAGGAAAAAAAAGTCAAAACAAGGTCAACTTTCAAGAAGCCTGCTTCAAAATGTAAATTTCACTCATACTGTTTGAAACAAAGTATGAAAAAGATGCTCTAAATGGCTATTACTAGACAAATGTCAATCAGAACTACAAGAAGGTATTAACTTGCACCAGTCAGAATGGTCATCAGGAAAACAGTCCACAAACAGTAAATGTGGAGACAGGGTGGAGCAAAGGAAACCCTCCTATAATGTTCTTGTGAATTTAAATCTCCAGGAATTCCAGAGAACATCGTGAGGTCTTTCAAAACTATTGAATAAAAGTAGAGCGGGCATATGATTTGGCCACCCCGCTCCTGTACAAGTGGAGAAAACTGAATTTCAAAAGACACGTGCACCCCAACATTTAGTGCAGTGCTGCTTACAACACCCCAGGAATGGAAGCCACAAGAGTGCCCATTGTTAGATGAACAGAAAACAGTGTGGCCCATGTATACAATGGAATACTACTCAGCCATAAGAAAGGGTGAAATGATGCCACTGGCAGCCACCTGGATGGACCTAGACACGATCATACTAAGTGAAGTAACTCGGACTGAGAAAGACAGATATTATATGAGATCACTTACAGTTGGAACCCAAAAGCTGATCAAATAATTTATGTAACACAAGGTGACTCACAGCTTCAGAACCAATGTATGATTCTATAAGGGGAAATTGGAGTGGGAGGGATGAAGTAGGAGGTTAGGATTAACAGATACACTCTCATATACATATTATAGAAAATAAAGACCTACTGTACAGCAGAGTGTGAAACACTCTAACAACCCATAAGGGAAAAGGATCCAAAACACATACATCTATGTGTGTGCATCATTGAACCAATTTGCTGGACACCTCAAACAACATTCTCCTCAACAACCCAAGAACTGACTTTCCTGACGCTCTGTCTGCCTAGGTGATCAGACCTGCACATGAAGTGGTGCTGCCTCCTTGTGGTCATTTCCCATTACTACAACTTTAAAACAGGCTTTTATGGACACTGTTAAGTCAAGTGGGCTTTAGGAAGCATCACTATGAACAAAGATACTGGAGGTGATGAAATTCCAGTTAAGCTACTTCAAATCCTAAAAGAAAGTGAAACTGAAAGTGCTACACTCAATACACCAGCAAATCTGGAAATCTCAGCAGTGGCCATAGGACTGGAAAAGGTCAGTTTTCATTCCAATCCCAAAGAAAGGCAACGCCAAAGAATGTTACAACTACCACACAATTGCACTCATCTCACATGCTAGCAAAGTAATGCTCAAAATTCTCCACGCCAGGCTCCAACAGTACGTGAACCGAGAATTTCCAGATATTCAAGCTGGATTTAGAAGAGGCAGAGGAACCAGAGATCAAATTGCCAACATCCGTTGGATCATAGAAAAAACAAGAGAGTTCCAAAAAAACATCTGCTTCATGGACTACGCCAAAGCCTTTGACTATATGGATCACAACAAACTGTGGAAAATTCTTCAAGAGATGGGAATACCAGGCCACCTGACCTGCCTCTTGAGAAATCGGTATGCAGGTTGAGAAGCAACAGTTAGAACCAGACATGGAACAACGGACTGGTTCCAAATTGGGAAAAGAGTACATCAAGGCTGTATATTGTCACTCTGCTTGTTTAACTTATATGCAGAGTACAGNTTGGGAAAGATTGAAGGCGGGAGGAGAAGGGGACGACAGAAGATGAGATGGTTGGATGGCATCACTGACTTGATGGACAAGAGTTTGAGCAAGCTCCGGGAGTTGGTGATAGACAGGGAAGCCTGGTGTGCTGCAGTCCATGGAGTCACAAAGAATCGGACATGACTGAGCAACTGAACTGAACTTGCCTTCAAAAATCCTGCAGGGCTGGAAATAACACCTGCCTTTAAGAAATGCCCCAGGGAAGGTCAGGAAAAAAAAATTCAAATAGGGCCAACTTTTAAGAAGCCAATTTAAAGATGTCGATTTCAATCACACTGTTTGAAAAGAAAAAACAAAAAAACAGTGGTAAAAGTGCTCCACAAAGCTATTATTAGAAAAATGCAAGAAGGTAACAGCTAACACCAGTCAGAATGGCCATCAGCAAAACATCTACAAACAGTAAATGTGGAGACAGGGTGGAGCAAAGGGAACCCTCCTATGCTGTTGCTGGGAATGTTAATTGGTAAACAGCACTCTGGAGAACAGTGTGGAGGTTCTTTCAAAACTGAAAATAGAGCAGGGAAAAGGATCCATGCCACTCCTGGGAGTATAATTTGAGAAAACTAAATCTCAAAAGACATATGCACCCCAACGTTCAGTGCAGTACTGCTTACAACACTCAAGGCAAGGAAGCCAGTGCAGCATCCATCGACAGGTGAGCAGAAAAAGATGTGGCACATGTATACATACAATGGAATATTACTCAGGCAAAAGAGAGATGCAACGGTACCCCTGGGAGCCATGGGGATGGACCCAGACGTGATCAAATACAGTGAAGTCAATCAGACTGAGAAATACACATATCATATGAGATCACCTACAGGTGGAATCTGAAAACTGATACAAACAAATTCATATATGTAAAACAAAGACACTCACAGGGTTACAAAACAAACATATGAAACCCAAAGAGGAAATTAGGGCAGGAGGGATGAATTAGGAGGTTGGGATTAACATATACACTCTCATATACATAAAACAGATAATCTAGAAGGACCTATTATATAGCACAGGGAACTGTGCTCAACACTCTGTAATAGAAGGGAAGAGGATAAAAAATATATATATATATCCACAACTGAATCAAGATGCTGTATACCCAAAACATTCAATAGTAAAATTCTACTCCATCTAAGAGAAAATATTTAAAAACCCAGTGCCTGCCATATTCCCCTAGGGCCTGGGGGACCTGAGCAGGCTTTGAAGACTGGACTTTCAGGGGGCTGAGGGAGCGGGGAGCTGTGTGCCAGCAAACCAGCACCCCTTGGATCTGTAGTGCCTGGAAGTCCACCGATTAGACCATGATCTCCAGCTCCAGGCGGGCTCATTAAAAGCCACAGGAAGCCCAGGGCACCCAAAGATCGGTGAACCCTTCAAGCTGCAAGAGCTTGGAAAAGTCACCTGGCCTGTCTCCGTGTCCTGGTGCAGGGTTCCTACCACCAGCCTCCGAGGACAGCACCCTTAGCGCAGCGGTTTTTCAGGGGCTGGCATTTCTCCGTGGGGTAAAAGGGTTAGGGAAGAAGGAATGAAACACAAGCGCTGGGAGTTTCTCCTGGCACTTTCCGCTCTC